TCACACAACCTTCTGAACCGAATGAATTAAATCCTTTTAACATCACATCTACATTAAGTGCATAACTCTCTTCTGCAGGCCAGGGAAGTTGACAAGGGATTGCTTTGAGAACAGCTGGAACAAGTTAAGATCTCACTACCAGCAACCTTTCAAACCAGTGCAGCTGATTTTGCAGGGAGGCAGATTAGAAGCCCTCACGTTATCTGGCAGCACAGCCCGGCCACAAACATCACAACCAGGGGCTGAATGCAGCCCGAAACACCTGGGCGCACACTCAGGGGAAGTCCCCTGCTCCAGCCACTCCTCATACTGTTGCCTCATTAAAAGAGGGGAGGGCAGTTTTAATTTCTGATCATGTTTTCTGGGCCTACAAATCACTCACAGCTGGCATTGTGCCTACAAACTAAAATGTGAAGAAGCCAGCTTTGACTGAAAGCTGGGATTCTCCACGTCAGCTGTCAGTGAGTGACTCCCTGGACAGGTCTTTCTGCAGGTCCAACAAAGGAAAAAGATTAAAGACCATAAATCCACCAGACACATCTTCTACACCAGCTGGCCTCACTTTGGGTCAGACCAGGGGACATTGCTGAGGCTGCAAGGACAAATTTTTCACTTTCTCCGCTACAGCTGCTCTTCAGAGTCTGCAGACTAGATTAATCTGTAGAGCTGTCACCAGGCACATTTACAGATACTAAATTAATTTTTCAAAAGGATGAAAATGCACCAATGCAGATGGTGAGTCTACATTTTGGCTTTCTTAAGCAAGGGATATTATCAGGAAAGAAAACTGCTGGAACCCCTCTGAACTGTGCATTCTCTGCAAAGACCACCTTCAGAAGCAAAAGCTGTAGGTGTTTTCCTCTTTCTCTCTCAAAAGGCCCACAGAAAAACTCCAGCAAACAAAAGCCAAGTTTTACACTCAAAACAAAACATTGTATTAAAAAAGCAATATAAACTAGATTTCCTATGGGCCTAGACTCTGTACCAGTTTCTCAGAAGTGTAGGAATAATTTCAATGCCAATAAAGTAAATGTTAATAAACCAAAACTATTGCCTTTTTATCTCAATTTGTATTTTTTAAAGTTTAAATATTGTTTAATCTCTTCAATGAGAAGTATGCTAAAGTAGAAAAGGAACTTAAAACAGAAGGCTGGAAAGAGTTTTTACTTTCATCATAAAAACACAGCTTTTTCTTCTTTTTTTATTTGGCGGGAATCAATATTGAAATGAGATTCCTACCAGAAAATAGCTTTTTCAGGCACACCAAATATCCCTTGGTTCAGCAGAATATTTAATCCCCTTGGATCAGGCACTTGGATTTTCTTAGATCATGCTGAGATAACAGCATTCTGCTGTGTTCTGGCACCATAAAACCCTTGCTTATGAAAATAAAAGAAAAATACGGCCTCTCTGGGAACATACATCTCTGCACTGCTTTTTTCCATAGTTTAGACATTGCAGTCTCAGAATCAATTTCTGCCCTGATACACCACATTCTCTTTATGAGTCATGGCAAAAGCTCTCCCGCACCACTGTTTGACACGGGCCAAGCGCGCACAGGGCTCTTCTAAACGATGATGCTTTCACAGCCTTGGCTCGGGCTCCAGCTCACGCTGGGCAAGCGCCAGCGAGGAACTAACTGGAGTCAAACCCCCTCCGACAGCACCATCTAGTGAAAAAAAAAAAAAGGATAAAATAAACACATGCAAATTTAAACAGTTTTCACTGCATTCTGGAAACGAACAAAAGGCCAATTCTCCCCTAATCTCCCATTACAACTGCGTTTAGGTGTAGCTTTCATCAAGGCTCTTTGCCTCGTGAAGTGTGGTGACAAGTAGAGAAAGATTCGGCGGCTAATTGTAAGCTTTTTGTCTGAATCTGGAACGCCACTTGGAACACATATAAACTTGCCCCTGTTTATTTTTTCAATGCTAAGCTTGTGTTTTTCTTGCTTTTATGAGAAATAGAAGTGTTTTTTAATGCTTTTAAATTATTGATAGCATAACATCTTTTGTTTAGTGCTGTGCTAGTGAGAGATGATATTTTAAGACAAGCAGCTCCAGAAAAAAATAAATTAATATATTTGGATATACTACAATATATTTTTAATATACTTCACAAAATTGTTTTTTCCACCCAGTTTTGAACTGAAACTGCCACAACATATAATCTCAACAACTTTTACAGTTTTTATTTTCATGTTATTGTAATGTTTTGTATGACTATATTAGTAAAGCATGAAATTTCTTCTTCATGAAAAAGGGCACACAGCTTCTATCTGTAACTTCAATGTGACCAGGCTCCCTGCTTTCAAAAGGACTACCTGCTGAAATTATGCAGGTGCTCAGATCTTTTACAGGGTCAAAGACAAACACTTTGGCTATTTGGAGGAAATAAAGCAGTATAGCTATTAATTGTGAGTGATTATATCTTGTTTAATTAGTTTTCCAGTCAGGAGGAGGAGATTCTGTTCTTTTCCCAATGCATATCTTCAGTGCCATGCAACTCCAGTTTCATGGGCTTACTTGAGGTCTCAAACCACAAACTCTGCATGACCAAAGTTCCTTCATTCTCAGTTAAAGCCCAAGCAAAAGCCATCTCCAGGATTCCCATACTCCTGGTAGGTTGCTGGTACTCTGCTGCCCCTCTGAGCTCTGTCTCACTTAGTATTATTTTGTCAATCAAATTGCTTGCCTTCCTTTGCTCACCTACAATGACAATTTTATCTACTTGAATTGTCTGGCTCCAAATAAAAATCATTACTGTCAATTAAAAATCCTTCTATAGACACAATAAAGAAATTAATTCCTATTAAAAATCCTTCTATAGACACAATAAAGAAATTAATTCTTATTGCAGAGCAGTAGAAAGGGTGCTCTCCTAAGCTTTCATATCTCCTTACAGCATCATTTGGAAGCTTGCACTCTGTCTCTTCCAGTTTTGTGCCTTAATCCCTACGTGCTGTTACACTTTATTTTACTTCCTTCTTTCCATTTTGCAGCCGCTCTTCAACCAGCCCACTGTCATTAAATCCCCCCTAAGAACTCAAGTTACATCTACTTCTGACAACTTGTAAAAAGTAAACAAAAGTAAAACAATTTATTTGACTTTAAGGTAGCTGACTACCTTAAAATCTCTTAAGGAACAGAATAGGAAATTTCACTGGGTAGATGCCGACAGGAGTGAGATTCTGACATTTATGTTTGTGTTTCAAGATGCCACAACCCCTTGGAAAGTCCCACTGAAACTGGATGGAGCAGAGAGCACATTAGCCCATCTACTGCTTTGGATAGATGGCTCCCCATAATCCCCACAGGTTTCACGAAAGTTACCACAGTTAATCCTTTAAGAAAACAGCATCAGCCTCTGCCAATACTGAACAGACAGACAACTGCTCATTTCCTGTGAAACCCATGCCAGTAGGATTTCAAGTTTAGAAATTAACCACAGTTTTTCTCACTATGCAGAACAGGAACACTGATCACATTCACTAATTCCCTTATTGCTTAGAGAGGATGGTAACACAGAACAGCAGAAATACACAACACTGGATATGCCACACTCTGTGCGTAATCGTGGATGCTTTGCACGCACCTCACACTGCCAGATACAAACAACACACACTGAACACAGGATGGACACACCAAAACAAGCTCCATGATTTCACAGTGTGGGGGCAGAGAATGAAACCTTGCTAGTTATGTTGACACCAGAAGTTGTTTCACTGAGACAACACACATGTCTAATACTATGATATACTGCAAAGGTGAGTGAGACATTACCAGGAGTTAAATTCATCACAGACATTGGCAGAAGTTATGGATAAAAAACCCCACTAGTGATAGAGTAAAAAAACCCAAAACAAATTAAATCTGTACAAAAGAGGAAATGCCAAACCACAAAACATTGTGCTGAATGCATAAATAAATGTATGGATGCTCTTAGCTGGCACTAGTTATGTTACACTTAGGAGTTCAAACATCTTACAAGTTAGTTAAAAATCATATACAGGAATGAAAGCACTTAATGCAGAAACAGTATGATTGACACTAAATTTAATGTGCTATATTCTTATTCTTACAGCATTCATATTAGGTATAGAACCTTGGCATTTGTAATAGATAATTAGACAAAAATTATTAGAATTTATGGGTATCTAAAGTGAACTTTTTAATGTGAATAGTCATAATACACTTATTGACATTACTGAAGCATTGCTACAGTGCTGATTTTGAACAAACATTTAAATTGCTAGTTAGCATTTTCTCTATAAAGTGATAGTGTTTCTACAAGTTAAATAATGGTTATTCATTTATAAACACAAAGAAATCAATTATTTATCAGGGGGGATCCCACTAATGAGGTACAACAAATTCATTAAAAGTTTGGATGTTTAAAATCACGCCTCTCCAACCTCAAAACTAAGGCTCTTCAATGAAACCTAGGCTGGCAGGACACATATACTCCTGAAGCATTTGTGTGAATACCTCTATCCTGCAGCACTGGTGTACTACAACCATGGTGACTGTGTTTTCTCTAGAGAAGGAAAAGAGCATAAGACAGGTAGAGCAAGTTGTCTTAAAGTCAATGGACATAAATTTTCCATTTCTGAAACAAAGCTGGATATGACACCAGCTAAATTAAAGGATTTCCACTTAGTTTTTTTCCCCTGCTGTGGCCAGGTGTCTGGTCTTCAGTAGGCTGAAAAAACTATTAACCCAAGCAATAGGAGGGATTCAAGCTTAATTAGAATAACTGTATGTGTTGGGCACAGCACAGGTGTCCTCAGTATAGGCCACAGAGGGTACACCACCTCATTTTTGGGTTACCATGACTTTTAGAATTTCTGTAGTTTGCAGATTCATCAGGGAAAAGCAGAAAAGTCTCTTGTCAATTAAACCACAAGGAGAATTTTGTTTGACATGGTATTAGCTCAGGAGATCAGAATTTGCACATTGAGAACAAACACACAACAACCACATTAATGTCCATGTACATACCATCCAAAATAATGTCCCTGTAGCAAGAGCTGCATACTGCTCAATTGTAGAAAGCACGCTGAAGATAAGGCATATCAGCACAATAAGGAAGCTGCAAATGAAAAGAAATTAAGCAATTAAAATAATGTCATGCAGTGTAATAACCTATGGGGAGAATAGATAATTATGCCATCACAAATCATCTGTTTACAGTGAAATGTCATTGGTAATGGATTATCCCTAAACACAGCTGGTAAGTGTTGCATGATCCTGCTTCCTGTTTGATAGTTTATTTCTCTTCAGACACTGAGGTTTGGGGTTGGACATTATCAAATGAAACCATATGGTAATACTAGCTTTAGCCTACCTCCAAGATTTGCTGTTTCCTGGCCCCTCATGGAAAGAGCATTCCTTGCTCTTTCCTATTTTGAGGACTACTTTGGCTGAATCACCACACAACCCCCAAGCATGTTTCAAGTATCTGCCTTTTTGCTGATCCAAAGCCCAATAAACCGGAAAAAAAAAAATCACAGCTAAGCCAAAGTTTAATAGGCTGTGCTATACTGTCTTTTATAATTGATCCCTAAAAGACCCCAAATAAATAAAGTCTGACATTTGGCATTTGAAACACAACCTAGGTCTGATTCCACCTAATTGCAAACCCCTGCCATGGGCAGTCACCTAAACCAGGCTGATCAGAGCCCCACACAGGCTGGCCTTGAACACTTCCAGGGATGGGGCTGACACATTTGTCCTTAAGGAGGGTGTCCTGGTTTCCAGCGTGAGATCCGGCACAGCCAGGGAAGCAGCCCAGTTCTCTGCAACCTCCCAGAAATGCTCTTCCCCCGTGTGGGGAGCAAGGCTGCTCAGCCCTGCAGCCTCTGCCTTCAAAGCCCTTCCCTGAGCAGCTTCAGCTGCCCCCCACCCCACAGGACTGCTCACCTTCCCCTAAAGGATGTACCACCCCTGGGAAGAAAACCATGCAGCACTCAGACTGGATGCTATCCACCACACGCTAGCCATAGGCAGCTTCCAGCTCCCAAAGAACTGCATGTTTCTTTGAAAAACACAACATGAGCAAGCAGCAAGAATGAAAACATCCCCTTGTTAAACACAACGTTAGTTTTTAGGGCTATTTCTCACAATTCTCTTAAGACAAGCAACACCAATCCTTTGTGCTCAATTAAAACTTGCTGCAAAATCCAAAAACTAAATCACCCATCCCATTAGGCATCTCTAAAACAGTTAACCATCTTTTAACTCAAAAAAACCCCAAAACAAAAGAGAACTGACATAACGAATAAAACTGAACTCAAGAGAAGTATTAAACCAGGACATAAGACTGACATAGCTCAGCTGAAGAGCCCCTGCCTTTATTCACAGAAGTGAGCACTTCTTTGGGTGAATCTTTCGAAAGACCGAGCACTCAAGAAAACAAAACAGTGTTAATGCTGACATAAGCTACACCCCTAATGATTGCTTCGTGATAAAGTGTATGCAAGTCCAAAGCACACACAAAAAATGATGCCAGATTCACAGAATCATTAAGGTTGGAAAAGACCTCAGACCAAGGCTGACCTTTGAGATAACTGAGTCCAGCCTTTGAGACTGTGCTACCAAATAATGGAGATCAAGTTTGTAGCTGATTAGGCTCAAAAATCAAATAGATAATGAAACTAATAGGACAGAGATTATCCCATATCAATACAAGTACCCATAAAAAAATATACTTTACCTAAGCAAAATCTAAGTATGTGAGTGTTTGATTAATCTCTAGATTCTTTTCATTTTACCCTGCATCTCTGCCTTTGGGCATTCTTAAGCACAAGTAAGCTGTGCAGAAACGGCAGGAGAATGCAACGGTGAGTCAGTAATTTGAAACATAACATAAATGTTGCCTAAGTATCCAGCCCTTCTGTCTGCAATATTCTCACAATTGCATAAGAGCAATACACATGACAATGTGAACAGAAATGGAATCAGTTGCACAGAGAGAGCTGATGCTCTCTGGAGTCCAACCAACACAGAATTAGCAGTTCAAAGCAAACAATGAGCTGCAAGGGATGAGCAGCACCACTTTACATTTACTATACCCCTTAATAGCAGTAGACGCGTTAGAATGTTTAACTCAGCCAGCACAAGAAACCACAAGGGGGCAACCAAAGCAAAGACTAACCCATTCCTGTCCCTTTCCTAAACAAACACAAAACCTAATAAGCATCAAAGTTGAAAGTTCATGTGCCGAAACGACAAAAAGATAAACTTAGGGTCAATCGTTTGCAAAATCTCTTTGCTTGCTCCTACTAGAGAAAGTGGTGGCTGAGGTAAGAACTGCATCAAGTGCCACTCACCCCACTACCTGCCTGCTTTTATGGCTTTTCATGCACATGGACCCATTTCAGCCTTACTAATTTATTTTTTTTTCACCCCCAGAGAAGCTCTTACAATTCACTGCTGTGCTCTTTCCAGACTGATGCACGAAACACCTTCATAACCACAAATACACATTATGCCAAGCAAAACAAAGATGTTTGGTCAGGAACTGCTGCTTCATGTCTGCTCCTTTGGCAAGGGAGAGATGACACCCACAAGGTGCCAGCCCAGCACCACAGCTGAGCCACTCACCCTGTTACACTGGCACTGCTATTCTGCTTAGATCAATTGCACATAAGGAACAGAAGGTGCAAAATTAAGACATTAAACAAACACACATGGCGTTCTCCTCCTGTGGTATGAGCCTACTGTGTGTCGCCTTCCAAAACTCAGCTTTGTTTTTGTTTTGGTATTAGTGGCTCCCTTCTCCACCTTTGAAGTGTAAGAAGGGAGTGAGACACCAGTAAAATAGAACACAGGAAGTTTGGCCCTTTTTTTTGCTCTTTTCTGACATAGTTATGTCCTCTTTCTTCAGTCAGAAGTGGAACACAGACCCCCAGTTACTGCCTCGGCAGCCAACAAGTCCACAGGAGTTAGTCACAAACAACAGTGGCAGGGACAGACTCTGCCTGAAACTTGAATTTGCTTATGCAAAAATCATCCTGGAGCAATTTAACTGGCCAGCCTCAGAAAAGCAAACATTACAATTTTCATAAAATAACCTTATCACTTTACTGTGATTGCTATTACTACATATAAAATTAAAAAAAAAAAAAAAGGAAAGAAAAAACACTTGTCTTGGTGCAAATGCTAAACATGTAAACTCTTCATCCAACCAGTAAATATCAGACAAACTAATGGGCAGCTAACTCCACTATGGCATAATTTTTTTAATATACATTTTTCCTCTTAAGGAGAGACAGTCAGCAAACTGGAATTTCTTAAAATTTAGCACCCTTAACGGTCAGACAGGGCTCCATCTCTTGCAAACCACGAGTTTTATCTCCTGTAACCCACTGCCTGTTTGCCCTCTATGCACAAATGTGACCATCCTCAGGAAAGGAAGCAGAGTGATGAGTTCAGGCTCTGACAGCTCTGATCTCTCTCTGTGATTATGGGGCCAAGCAAGCACCAGAGATGAGGAGATAGCCTGGGAAGTTTTTCATGCTGTCCCTCCCAGGTTACAAAGCAGCATCTACTTGCATGTAGATAAGTCACATCTACTGCATCAGTAGATGCATTCAAAAATACTCAGCTTGGTGGTTAAGTCATATCTAACAGTGCTATGGTTGTTTTTAAACCAAGAATTTTGCAAGTGGCTGATCATCTCTGTACTGCCTGATGTGAAACCACATCACCACTGCTACAGCAGTGTGGACATTACAAAGCAGCAGATGGTTTTTGCTAGTCCAGCACAAGGAGACCTGTGCCCTCTCAGACAGCACTGTTTTACTCAGCCAGTTTCTCTGGTTCTCTCTCCAATTCAGTTTTCCCAGGCAGCTGTTATCCCATTCCTAAGGGAGCCAGAGCCAGAAGTGGAGCTCTCAGTGTGCAAGGAACACCAGGGTGCAGCACTGCAGTGACACTTGGAGCTCAGGGACATCCCAAGCACAGGTGTGCTCATGTGGGCAAACATTTTATAAATAAGTTCTGTCTTGCTTCATTTTGTCAGTCAGACAGCTTAGGTAATTTTTTGGTCTCTAACAGAGAGCATTTCCACAAAACAATCATTCAGCCAACAAGGGAGCATGGCCAGCCAGCATATGTGCTTTACTTAGCAATAGATAGGAAATATGTTAAGAGCTCAAGGTAGATTTAATGTTTTATTACTATTTTAGGATATATTTTGACTTACAGACAGACCTATGGCTTTTTCCCAGACCTCAAAGTCAGCTGCAGGAACCTGACACATTATAGGTAGCTATCAGTACTGTGCAGCCTTCAGCCCTGAGCTGCTGAGTTTTTTCTATATTTAACTATGATTTTCGAACATTAGCATGTCTTTTTTTGTGGCTTGAAACAATGTGTAGAATGATCAAAGGAACAATAAACCACTTACTGAGAGATAACAGTGCTCATTTAGTGAATGTCACAGGTAGGAGAACTGATAAGGGTTTATAAAATATGTCCAGTGATATGACCAGGAACATTTAAAACACAGTGTATGAGACATGCTGGAAGTACTTACTCACCAGATTAATAGTCTCATGTGCATGGAGCTATTATCATCAAAACCAGCACTAAAATGTGGGTAGGTTTCATTCCTTGCAGTGTTTCTTACATACTCACAGTGGGAGTCTTTCCATAAGCCAGGAAAATGTTGCCATTAGGCTATAAACTGAGCTGAGACCTTAAATACATATAATAGATGAGAAGGGACATGCAAAGTTCAGCTCAATTTATATCAACTTGAGCTCTAACCATCCAGGAAGACACACAGTTTTTCCTTGCTCAATGCCACAAGCTGTCTTAAGTCTGATTTTTCTAACCATTTTTATCCATTACAGCTATCAGTCTTGAAGATATCCAACTACTGGTGCATATAGCTTATTTTAGCTGGTAACTGCCAGCTAAAAAGCAATTGCCAGCATCTGTGCTTTTTTCTGTTTGGCCTGAAGTCAAGGTGCAGTTCATCCTCTCTGTCTACTGGAGAAAACAACTAAAAAAAAAATTATTCTGCAAAACAAGAAAAGATCTTTAACAAGCTTCTATGTACTTAACATTCTACCTAAGCCCTCT